GTCTGGCCAGGCGGGGTGTCGTGAGGGGGGTGGGCAGCCAGGGCAGAGCCGTGGAGGGCTTGGGGATTGCGGGGGCTTTGTGAGAAGTGCTTCAGTACGGGACTGAAAAATCACTAAAAGGGGGGCAGAATTTGGCCGGTGTGCCTGAGGTCGTAAGGAGAAACATAAAGAATGGTGATCGCTGGGGAGAGGTCAGTGAAAATCGGGTTAACTTGAAGCAGGCAGATTGCACTGAGGCGTGGGTAAGGCTTTCTGATTTAAAGCATCGTTAAAGCTCAAAAATAAAAACTCCCGAAGGTGGGGTGGTGTCTCCATCGTTGGAGCGATTCAAATTAAACGAAAATCTGGCAGGAGCGGTGTAGGTGTGGAGGAGTCTGTGCGAGCGCGGGGTTCGGCAGCCTCGTGACGGTCCTTTCCGCTGCTCTCGCTTCGCCTGGTCGCACAGAACCATCGCTTGGACCGTCCCAACTTCCCTGACCTTTTGCTCCGTGTCTGAAAATCTTGGTGGGGTGACGGTTTCAGCTCGTTGCTGTAGGGAAGCTGGAAGCAGACGGGAGTGGCTTGTCAGCGGCAGGTGACTTTGGCTTCTCGGGGTCCCCTTGCTCCGTTAGAGGCTGAGGCAGAGCGTGCAGGCAGCTTCCAGGATGACCTGACTTCAGCCTTTCCTCCCAGCCCGATTCCCCCCACAGCTGGGGCTTTGAATTACCAGTGACCCCAGTAACAGCGTGGCCCTGGGGCTCCTTGCGTACCGAAGCCCTGGCGTGGCGGCTGCTCGTACCCCTGAGCGCTGAGGAGCCGCAGGCTCGTAGCTGGTGTCTTTCCACTTAAAAGCGGTCGTGAAGGAAGCAGCAGCGTGGAGTTTCTCTGATTGCGGTTTTCAGAGCTCCCTGCTGTGTGTTGTTCTCTGCACGTAGCGCTGCCTCGAAATGGCCGATGATAACGAGGACCTGCAGGCAGATGAGGAGCTCCCGGCTCCGGCTGAGGACAGCTTCGAGCAGCTGGAGAACGACAGCCCCGCCGAGCGCAGCGGGCACGTGGCGGTCACTGACGGGCGCTGCATGTACGTGTGGGGAGGCTACAAGGTACGCTCTTCGCCTGGGGAAGCCAGCCTTCTGCCACCCCTGGGGCTGGGCGTGAGGTCCCCTGGGTTTGGGGGTGACTCTGTAAAATTATCCCTCCCCCGGAAAAGCGAAGCTCCGGTTAACGAGTTAGAATGTGGCGTTTCGGAGTTTTGAAACAGGGAAATAAATCACGAGCGTTCAGCGCCGATCTCGGCAGACGGGTGACTTCGGTGGGGTGCGGGGTGGTGTTTGCCTTCGGCGGCTCACGCGTCTGTCGGCAGAGAAGGGAGTTCTGAGTTGAAATGCAGACCGTGCTTGTGTTTCCAGCGTTCCCAGCGCGACTGTGTATTGCCCAGTGACGACCACAGGTCGGGTGTTTTACCACACTGGGGGGTGCGTGTGCTGCAGGCAGATTCGAGTCGTTTTACAGTTTTGACAGGAGTGGAGATGAATTGTCAACGAACTTAGTGAATAAATTGGTAGCTCAGGGCAAAGCTTTGATGTATTGTTCTGATGGTGTCGTGCAGAGCATGGGGGAATTAAAAAGGACATTTTGACTCGTTTAGGCACCCTAGTTACCCTGCTTGGGCTGTGAAAAGGAGGTTTAACTTCCATTTACCCCCGTCTCTGGCTCAGCTGGGAGCTTGTCTGGACCCCAGCAGACGCTGAAAGGCTAATACCTGCTCCCTGAGGGCTGCTCTGCGCGTGAGAGGTGCTGGAGTGCAGCCCGCCCTACTCCTGCTGTTCTCTGTTCTGAGATTCGCTCTCTGAGGGGTGTAAACATTCCCAGGAGTCTGTAATTCCGGATGTCAGTGTTGCTTTTTCTTTCCTGACCTGTTCTGCAGAATGCCCAAGTTAGAGGATTTTATGACTTCTATCTGCCTAGAGATGAAATATGGATCTACAACATGGAGACTGGAAGATGGTACAGTAAATAATTAACTTAATTGTTGTTTTGGGGGGAAAAAATAGATAAATTCTTAAATTGGTGTGGAAAACACACTGAGGGGCTTTGAACAGAGCGAGAACTCCCTGGTCTGTGTTCCCACCTGTCAAACTGTTGCATAAATGTGTAAAATATTCCTAATTTTTTTTTTTTTCCTGTGAAAACAACCAAGTATGTTTTCACGGCGTGAGGTAGGAGAGACAGGAGTGTGTGACCAACAGCGTGCAGTGTTTTGGGGTGCCTGGTACAGGACGTGGCACCTGAAAAGTGTGTTTGATTACACTGGTACGTGGGGGAGGGAAACCCCTGTTGAGTTTTTTCTTTGCTGTCCTGTTAAGGAGCTGGTTTTAAACGCTGGTGCAGCCGAAGAAACCCCTGGGTGGTCTTAGATCACTGGGAGCCTGGAAGCTGTGTGAAACCTGCGTGCCTGGTGGCGCGAGCACAGGGCATCCTCGCTGGGGCCCGCGAGGCCCAGGCCCCTCCGCGCTTTGTAAAGGCACAATTTCGGCCGCGCTTCCAGTCCTGGTGGTTGGGGAGAGCCTTGGACACGGGCTGGAAGCTCCGCTTTGTGGTTCAGATGTTTACAAACCTGAAAAATCCAGTCGCAAAATAGAAACCTTCGGTTTCGACAGGGGCGTCCTCTTTGCCTGAGGGTCTTCCTGGGGATTTGGAACGCGCCGGGCGTACCGAGCTCCTGAACTGGGCAGGCGGGATTCCTCCCCCACAAAACACGTATTCATTAAATTGCCTGTTCCCCACCCCCACCCCCCTCCATCCTACCAGGGTGGTGGTGTCAGTTGTTGAGCCTGTGAGGGTGTGAAGAACTCCTGACCCCGCGGTCCGCGGTGACGGTGACCTACTGTCATTAAACCGCGCTGGTTGTGTTCTGAAATGCCAGTCGGGCTGAAATGGTTATCGTTCATTTTGAAACTCTGCTTCTAGGAAGAAGAGTAAAACGGAGGGAGACGTTCCACCTTCCATGTCTGGCAGCTGTGCCGTGTGTGTAGACAGGGTGGTGTACCTCTTTGGGGGACACCACGCCCGTGGCAACACCAACAAGGTCAGTAACGCGGAGATAAACCCCTCCTCACAGACAGGTCTCTCCCCGTTAGCTTTTGTTCCCGTCTTTTACAACCTAGAGGTGGCCTTTTCAGTTCGCTAAAACCCATCCAGAGCAAGAAATGTGTGATCGTAACAGAAATCACAGGAACATTTTCTTCTGAAGGGCTGGGCAGGTTGGATCCGCTTTCAGAGCTGAAATCTCACTACCAGGGGCTGCTGAACGGGGATCCAGTCACCGTGTCCTCCAGGGCTTCTGCAGCGCGATCTTTTCATCTGCTGGCCGGGTCTCTCTCGTGCTTGGAGGCAGAGAACCAGCTTTCTCATCCTGCCAGCGGCTTCCCCAGATACGTGAACTCATCGGAGCCGTGTTCTTTTTGTGCTTGCCTGAGAGGTTTTGCCTAACAAAACGCCGAGATTACTGCTTGGATTGTGGGGGTTTTTATCCATGCGGGTGATCAGCTGGCTGGCTTTTACCGCTGCAGCGTATTAATCTCTCTGCAACAGGTCAGGTGGTAACACAACGTTTATAAAACAGATCAGCCTTCAGCTCCGCACCTTTTCACGGGATGATTGTGCTCTGGGAGCTTTAGGCCGCTGAAGAAACTGCTGTGCCCCAGTGTTTGTTTTGATTACCGTTCTTGTGCAGTTCGCCCCGCGAGCGGTATCGCGCTTGGTGCTTTTGGGTTCGCTCCTGTTGAAAGATGGGGAGTTTCCAGAGTGCGCTGAAGTAAGAGCACGAGGTGATTTGCAACTGCTCTGAAGTTGTTGGAAATGTTACTCTTCTCCGGAGCCTCCCATAATATTTTTCTGATGTTGTAGGAGTGTGGTTTAAACTAAATAGTTTTGCCCTCGCTCTTAAAAACAAACTGGAAGTGGCTCGATGCAGTGCTCACCGACAGTCTGAGGCCAACTACGTTTATAAAGTGTGACTTGCTTCCTTCCTGCTGCGGTATTGCTACGTTTCAGTTAGTTTGTGTGTGTGTATCAGCTAGTTCTCGCCACGTAAAATGATGCAACGCGCAGAGAAGGGGCGATTCTGTAAATGAACGCTTATTTTTTTTTTAATTGTAAGACAATTGGTGCTTTGTACAGACCTGCGTCGGATCCTGTGTCGGCTTTCGGATGGTAAAACTCCATGCCCATAGTCCTGTGGCTTTTGTAAAAAGCGTTTGGGGCTTGAGTCTGCAAAAAGATAAGGGCCTTCGGGTCCGTGTTTTGTTCCCAATATTGTCAGTGCTCTGTGCAGCTAGGAAGAAAACTTGTCATTTATTTCTACACCAAGACGTGCTGCTCAAAAGTTAGTATTTTAACGTCTGTCAGAGTTAAGCTTCCCGCTAACTGTGTGGGTAAAAAAAAATCTTTTTATTTTCTACAGTTCTACATGTTAAATTCCAGATCCACGGACAAAGTGCTGCAGTGGGTCAGAGTGGAGTGTCAGGGGGTGCCCCCTTCGTCCAAGGACAAACTCGGCGTTTGGGTTTACAAAAACAAGTAAGGCTCCCGCCGTCCTGGCGCCTGCGCCTGCCCTTGGTCGCTCTCGGTCCCCTCGTTGCTGTGCGTGACTGTTGGAGCAAGAGCTGCGGGAGGGCTTCCCGCCTGCGGCAGGGGCGCGCGGCAGGGAGGGGCTGGGGAACAAACCCAGCCCCCTCCCTTCTGAAACTGCCCTGTCCTCTAGCCCGTGATAAGCGAAAAACCTCACGGCCGGCTCGGGGGGGTGTGAGCTGCCAGGTATCCACGCGAGTCACAGCCCAAAACGTCGGCTCGTCACAGGCCGACCTTCCACGGTGCCTCCTCCGCCCATCGCGGTGAAGACGCTGCGTCGTGGTGCCTTGTGGCAGCCTCGTTGCTCTCGGCGATGGCACCGGGAGTCGCTCCTCGCAGAAAAGGCCGCTCCGGGGTTCCCCGTACCACACAAACCGCGCTCTTTCGGTGATGTCCTGTGGGACAGCGTGCGTTGCTGGGGTAGCTGAAGAGCAGGAAGCCGTTTTGATCTTAACATTGCGTGTTCGGGAAGGGATCGTGCCCCTGTACGGCCGCTGGTGAGGCCACACCTCGAGTACTGTGTCCAGTTTTGGGCGCCGCAGTGTAGGAAAGATGTTGGGGTGCTGGAACGTGTCCAGAGAAGGGCAACGAAGCTGGTGAAGGGTCTGGAGAACAGGTCTGTGAGGAGCGGCTGAGGGAACTGGGGGTGTTCAGCCTGGAG